GATGGCTTTGAGATGGTGGCAGGCGTGCTAGCATGCTGCCACCCATGGGCTGGGAGAAGCCTCAGCCAGTGCCCACGCTGCTTTTCGGTGCTATGGCCTCTTATTTCAGCGATGAGACAGTGTTAGGTCCTAATATTTGTAAAGTTCTCCCAACCCCATGCTGGCCACATGGAAGTCTGCTCCGATGTCACCCAGAGGGCAGGGTGAGGGGAGCAGGGCCCTGTGGCCACAGAGGGATCCGGGCCAGCTGGAATGTGAAGGAAACGGAGCCCGGGGCCCCCAGCCCTCAGTCAAAGCCCCTCTCCAAGGCTGTGGAAAAACTTCTGGCATCGTGGAGGGAGGGCAGTGTCCGTCAAAAAGAGGCAGCCTGTGCCCAAACTCTGTGTATAACGCATAGGAAGCCTGGCTGGCCGGGCCGCGGAAAGGCGGCTGTGGGAAGAGCAGCAGGACTGCCGAGGTGGCAGGGTGTCCGGAGAGGGCTCCTCCCTCCCAGCGAAGGCTATTCCTTGAAGGTGGCGCCCTGAGGAGAGCAGTGTCTCTGGAAAGACAATCACGGGTCCCCCGGGGCCAGTGGTCTCAACGTGTCCAGCAGATGCTTCACCCAGACAGCTGCTGTTAGAAAACATCCCGTTCTCAACGGAGGCCTGCCTGCCACGTCCCACCTCGTGTGAGTCTTTGGGCCAAGGGTTTGCCAGATTGCAGATGCTTAGAGGAGAAAAAGAGGAAGGGGGAAAGAAGGAAAGAAAGAAGGATTTTGTCAAGAGCTGTGGACAGCTGCTTTCCATCCCTGCCCTCCTCTTGGTGATTTGCCCATGTGCTGATGGACCAACTTTTCCTCACCCAGGGGGTCCCTACCCATTGAGTCTTGGGGAGATGGGTGCTTGGGCAATTTTTAGGTCACGAAGACAAGGACAGGAAGCAAGGTGTATCCAGGTGGCCAGGAAGGGACATTTCTTGAATATAACATAAGTTGCTTGAGCGTGAGGGAGATGGGATTTTGTTTAAAATGGCCCACCTCTCCCAGCCCGCTTCTGAAATGGCCATAGAAGACACCAGAAGATGGGCACTCAGAGAAGTGCTGGCCGTG